TGAGGGAGTGAGGCCGTGACTTTGCATCTTCGTCTGCGACATTGGAGCTCAATGAATCAGTAATCATCTGCGAGCCTGTGACGCTGGGTTGCCTGCATCTTCATCTTCGACATTGGAGCTCCAGTACTGCGTCTTGCCATCTTCGAGTTCGAGTTCAACTTCTCGCCTCTCAGCAGCTTCTCGTGGTGGACTGGTGGCGGCATCCCTCGATTTGTTGAAGATTGAAGCAAAGGTCGCTATCGCTGGTGCCTGGTAGCTCATTGTTCGGTAAATTTTTGTTGTCTCTCTGTTCGGCTGTTCCAAATAATGACTATTGGGTTTGAATCATCTTGGTCGAGATGAATTTGGGGCTTCCGGGGTAAAGGAAATTATTGAAGCAAATAATTTAGATCATGATATGCACTCTTCATACGTCTCAATAATAAAGCAAATAAGCAATAATATCTCACCCCAAAAAGAAAATAATTCAAAGACCAGATAAAATTTCAGCGCAAACACAGTCGACTTTTTTAACAGAGATGTACAATGTGCAAACGCTGAGAGTCCCTCCACATATATTAAGTTCGTCAATTAAAAAATTTAAATGTTGGGATCTATTATTCTGTTTATGACTTACTTATATATAACTATATTTCTCATTATTACATAAGATTACACTATGCTGAAAAAATTGTAAAAAACAAAGTAAAAAAATAAATGGGTTACCCATACCCGGTCAGCCAAACGGGCTACCCGCAACCCATTTAATACGGGCTAAAATGGGTTACTACCGGGTTATGGGCTAGCCCATGCCCGTTTATTCATAAATGGGCGGGCTATGGGCTAACCCTGGGCTAGCCCAGCCCGCCCATTGCTCAGCCCTAGTTCGTGCCTTTCCCTCCATCTCCGCCCTCTCTTTACATTTCCATTTCAACGCTTTCTTCCTCAACCACATTATCGTACCTAGTTAGCGTCCTTTAACATAGAAGTCGTACTGGGAAGTCCGAGGGAGTGAAGCTAATAACTAGAATAATAAACTCATAATTCATTGATAAAACATGAAGTCAAACCTTGGATTTGTCAGGAATCGCGTTTGCAAAAGTAAATTTATACTAATTGATTGTCGAAGACTTAAAGTTGTAAAAATTAATTACTATAATATGATTTATATTGAGTCAAACCTCAACATTGCATTTGGAAGAAGTTGGCGCATCTAGCTATATGAGAGAATGGCAATAATTAAAAAAAAAAAAGCAAATCTGTGACGATTCTGTGGAAATGATGAGACAAATGACTTGGTTTGGTGTGGTTAATTTATGCATGGCTTCCAAAAGCCCCTCTTCCTCCCATGTGACGCCACACGTGGTCTCCCACAGACAAAAAGAATGTGCAACTGCTCCTAACTAATTTATATTATTCTGCCAACCTCATCCCATTATTTAAAATACCCCCAGAATTTTATTTTATTTTATATACAAAAATTCTTCAAACTGTTCAAAGCCCTGCTATAACTATTAAATATCTACACTAGCTACACGTCTCCATCTTGCTGGCACACAATCTCAACCAAATCGAGCATCTAAATTTCCCCTATTTGTCATAATTAATTAAAATCGATCACAAGTGGGAGTGTTTTGTTTGTTTTTTCAAGGCACACGTGGCAGAATTGATGATGATGATTAAAATTATTGGACGGTGATGATGACGGAGGGAGTGAGATTCGGGGGACGGGAGGAAGGGCAGGGAATCATGATTGCTGGCGTTTTGTGTAAAGCGAGCAAACTGGTGCTTTTGACCATTGACCGGGAGGCACGTGCACCGCATCCTCTTTTCGTTCAAATTGCAGAGACGATGATTTCGGCGACGCACGTGCACTCCCTCCTCCCCCGACATGTTTTAACATAATGATCCTCTCGATGTTCTATCTCCTTTATTTTATCCAACTCCCCTATCTTCTGCCCCCTCTTTTTTTTTTTTTTTTAATTCTCCTCTCAGTGAATCCTTTGCCTTATGCTACTATTTTCCCAGCTTTTCAGATATTAAAATTTTTAGAAATTTTATCTTCAATCCCCACAAATCTTATGACTTACCATTTCCGTACTTATTACTCTTCTGGTGTTTAATATAAAATCTAATTATTGAGTTAACTTTGATTTTAAATATAAGATCTCTTTCTTATATTTATCAATTTTCTCTAAATTACTTCTATGGATACTCCTCAACTATAATCAAGTAGAAGAAAAAAGATGGGGTATTAAGAAAAATGATTATGGTATTTAAAAAAAACGTGTCACATTTCTTATAATTAACTAATTTACCTAACTTCCTTAATCTAATCAAATTAATTAAATGGGTTTTATATTAAAGATTGTGGGAGTATAAATTATTTTAACCAAGTATAAATCACTTAAACGATTATTAATGAATTTTACTCCAGGAAAAAAATAAAAAAAGTAAAAAAAAATGTATAATGTAATCTTTTAATTCAAATTTTTTAATAAAAATAAGCTTAAATTTTTTATTAATTTAACTGGATTGGTTTGCTCCTTGCTATTTGGCCTCTGTAATAAAATAATCCTATGCTTCTAGTCTAGTTTCATCCCGAACCCTGTACTAATATAAAAGCATTGGGAGATATGTAATGATATTCAGAAGACGACAAAATAAGGAAAAATAATTGAAATTGATCACATTGAATGAAATAATAGTGGTTAATTAAGAAGGAAATGAACAAGATTTACGTTATTCGTGTGAGGGGTCCCCCACTCAGCACGTGACGTTCCGGAACTATAATGTGAATCCAATGCTTTTTTTACCACGGTGAGTGAAAAAAGGTGTGGTGAGTTAGGTACGATCACAGAGTTGAAATTTGATTATAATATTGACACCGTCATTAGCGTGGCTTTCATTAACAAATTATTAATATTTTCCAATACTTATCATCAACAGTGAACAAAAATATGTGAAAATTTATTTTTGAGGATGTGAGATTACATTTCTGTTTCACAAACTGACGGAGTGATCAAAGTTTGCTTGGGCCTGGGCTTCTTCATAAAGCCAAGCCCAGGCCCAGGAAGGTTAAATCATCGGACCATCTTAAATAAATCCTAAATTTCCAATCTGTGTGTCGCGTAAAGCTTGAGGCTCCCAGAGGAAAAGGAAAAAAAAAATCGTACTGTGGACAACCTTGAGCGTATGGATATTTGATTTTTTTCAATCGAATCCATTTTTTTATACATAAAAGTTTAGGTGAATTAGATTTTAGAAATTCATCAGGGCCATGCATCCAAGCTCGAAAAAATACTCATAAAATTTGGTTGGGCCTGGACTTGTTCATTGAGCTAAGCAGAAGCAAAGCTATGTGATAGTGAAATAGCGACTGGATCTGGATCCAGGCAAACGAACTCGTATGCTTGGGAACGAGTCTCATTTTCTTTGAAGAGTGAGCCCAACTTAGAATTGAGCACTGCAATTTCTTAATCTCCTTGAACTATTTTATTAAATATTTTTTTTATTATTGCTTCAAATTATCATGGTTAAAATTTAAACAATTTAATCCAATTTTATTATTTTTTAAAGAAAAAGAAGTAGAATAACTCGTTAAGAATCAGAAAAGTATTCACTTGTCTAACGCTTGAGCATCACATTTGCTGCAACACCTTTTTTTCCCCTCCCTCTTTTGCCACCTTCTCGTGATTGTTCCCAGTACCAATAACCGCAGCGATATATTAATTGTTGTGGATTAAAAATGTACAAGAACAATGGTTCTATAAAGAATTTCTTTTGAAATGGCAAATTGAGATATGTGAAAGCAGCGTTTGTGATTTTACAGGCTATTACTAATTAGTAGTGTAGGTGTACCTATGAATCATGTCCCCTTTCTTCATCAGCTGCAATATCTTCTAAAAGCTCCTAGCTCGGGCTACTTCTTCCATATACTTTCCTCCGAAACAAGAATTTGTGCTCGACTAAAGAGATGAAAAATTAATAGACAGATTCAATGAATGATCTTTTCCAAAGGAAAGTTATCAAAGAATAGCCCAATGCAGAGAGAGAACCATGATTCAAACTCCCAAACATTTTGCCCGGCAACAACACCAGCCAACTTTTTTTGGCAGTGAATATTCAGAAGGCGAGGATGGATCGGCAGATAAGTCTTCGGCTCGAGACCAAACGTAGACTCCTCGTTCTTGTCGACTGCCAGGCACAGTGTTATCCAGTATGAATGCCACCAAGAGTGTAACCACCATGTTCATGGACAAGAGAGCATTGACCGCAAAATCCAGCTGAAGCATTTTGGACCAAAGACAATGATATGTCAGCTCATGTTTATCACAAGAAAAAAAAAAAAGGCCATAGTTTTGTGCGCGAAAAAACTTGGAAAACTTATATATATATATATATATATATCAGTTTTTGTAGGCCATAGATATTTGTTATCAGCTTTGATCAGGAAGAAAACAGCACAGATATCAGAAACATTACCACCAATATTTTAAATATGATTTGCCTACGACATGTTCACATGCTCTGGTCATTATTAATTTGGTTTACAAACTTTCTTTCGATCAAGTCCATCTAACTAAGAATCTCTCTGAACGAAAGGTGACTTGCCTGTTCAAGGCCAGTGTTGAATGGTCCACTTGATGCTGCAGCGTAAGGAATCAGATAGCTTGGCAGTATTAGAGCGGTAACAGGCTGGTATTGTTGGAAGTAAGCAGGGACAGATAGGCCAAGGAACAATGAAACTCCAACTATTGTTATGTTCCTGAAGCTGCTTGACTGACCATATTGTAAAGTGGAGAGGCCCAATGCTGCAGTAAGGGCCCACATGAAGCATAGTACAGAGGCAGCCAAGGCCAGTGGAATGGAAGCAAGAAGAGCACCCACTTTTCCTACAAAATACGTTAAAGGTATATATAACAATTCAGATTCACAAATTGGAAAACTTCAACTGTATAAGAAAAATATCTATACTTCAAAAGGTGTCAGATCAAGTCAGCTGATATAATGCTTTAAACAAGCTTGAACAGCATTAGAAGATCAGTTACTGAATTTTAGATCATAACAATTCATGAACCTTCCCAGCTTAAAACCTAAGAGACGAAATAGTCAACTATATGGCATCAGACCAAGGGGTCTGGAATTTGTCAATTTGAACCTTTTTTTTCTCTGCCCAATATAAGATAAGGGCGGGCATGTGTTTTGGGTGAAGAGGCAATAGCTTTCATTGAGCTTTGAGACTGAAATGGTCCTTTACAATTATAAACTAAAATCAAGTTCAAATACATGAAAGTTAAATTACAGCACACCCTGAGATCCCCACTAACCAGCATGCAGCAAGAAAGAGTAATGAAAACTTGGTATGAAGTTGTTTAAGAATTTCAACATCAAATCAGGCCAGTCGCCAAACTTTGAGGCTTTACCTAAAAATGAGAATAGGATCAATAAAGCTGCCCCAAGCTCCACTACCTTTCGATTTGCCACCTTTGTTATATCAATTGTGTGCATATTTTCTGTCAAAGTTGTTGACCCTGTACCTGTACCCCAAATGCCAGCCAATATGCTGCAGAAGCCCTCCACTGCAATTCCTCGGCTCACAACTCCTGGAGTTGGAGCCCTTGAATTAACTCTTAAAGATGCAGTATGATAGGTTCCAACCTGGAATATGAACTAACCAATTCATTTCCAGTTCCAGTTCACATATTGTCCTCCATTCTTCATGTAGACATATTATTAACATTTTATAAAAGAAAGGGTTTTTGCAGCTTTGATTATGAAACTTAGACGGTGATTGAATTTGCTTAATCTCATTTCAAGAATGTCTGTCATATAAATTCCAACGCGCCCTTACATGCATTTCAAGAAAGTCTGTTATATTTAGAGGGTGATTGAATTTGCTTAATCTCATCATATAAATAAGATTGTTCATTCGAGAGTTAAAGAAGAAAACAACTTGAATATTCATAAAGCTTTAGCTACCTCATTACGAATTTCTAGTTCCAAAGCATATCATAAATTGCACTTGAAAGCAATGATTTAATTAAAATACTTACTGAATCCACAGAGGCAACCAGTGACACTATGATCATGATTATGGAGGTCCTAAAATGGAAAATAGGGATACCCCACTGTAAAGGGTAAGGGAATCTGACCCATGCAGCAGTTGACAGTGCATTGGAAACATCAGTCCTGCAGTACTTCATTGTATAAGCATGCCTTCTACATGCATCATTCAGAATGTTAGAACTTGGTATATTAGGACTACATCCTTTGTAATTATATGCTCCCCCAGCTGTTAAAAATGATGCATATATCCAAATTATTGTGACACTAAGCGGAACCTGCAGATATTAAAGCATGTAAACATAACCCTGCAGGTCAACTAAATAATTTCAAAAACATATCCTTGCAATTTAGGATACTTACAGCATAAATTCGAAATATGTGATGTCCGAAGATAGATATTCCTCGAAGATACTACGAAGAGAGAGAGGGCGAAAAAAAAAAAAAAAACAGCAGTATGAGTTCCTGGGTACTGCTGAAATGAGTTGAAAATAAATTAAAAACGGCCAGTTTACAGAAGACAATCTCTAACTAGCGGTGATCATGGGCTGAGACAGGTGCTGTTCAGCTCAATTCAAGTCTAATACCAGGTCAGTTGGCTCGGCCATCCATAAAATGACTTCCAAAGTTTTCATACATGTTTTTGTAAGAATTACATTTTGCCCTGGAAAAAAATCTTCATATTTTTTTTTCCACAAAAAATGATAGCCTTGGATTGAATTGGGTCAAATGGGACAACATATATTCCCCTTCTTTGGGTTGAGTCCAACCTGGTCTGTCTGACCAACACTGTCCCACCAAGTTGAATGGTACCCTTACGCTAAGAAAGAAGCAGTAATTTGCTGCTGTTTAGGAGTTTTCAAATCCAAATACTTGGGGAAGGACTCACCAGAGTGAAAATTAGAACCAATGCTATGAGCGGAATGCTGATTTCAATGCAATTACCAGCTTGAGGAAAGCCGTAGCTGAAGAATGCTAAACCTACAGCAGCAACAGTTGGGGCAACAACAATTGGGTTGATTAACCTACAAAAATATTGTCGCGAAATTTCAAGAAACTAGCGCATTAGATTTCTTGAGCCGCTTAGAAATTTATTTCAACAAAGTAATAAAAGTTCGATATATATCATGGACTTCATCGAAATGTGTTCCTCATGGAATATGTGCTTTACCATTTTCTTTTCTAAATTATTCAATTTTTTTTTTTGGATATGCGACCCATGTTTCTTGACTTTTCAAAGAGTCATGCAAGAAACAAGGAAGGGTAAGGCATGACTCGTTCTTCTGTTGCTGCTCACTTTTATTTTTGCTTTATTTGACCCAAAAACCGGATATAGAAAAAATGACAAATATTTACATGATTTAACAAATTTGATGCGTGTAAATTTGGTAAAGCTAAAGCACACGTAATTTCTATTATCTGAATTTCAGTTCACCTAGTAAATCTCATGGCAAAAAGGAAGGTAACGAACTAGAGAAATTTAGTAAATTAAACGTGGAAGACGAAATATATTTCTTTCACACCAGAGATTTACTGAGCTCTAATGAACACAACAAAAATATCACTTAAAAAATTGTAATGCACCCTTACCTAAGCAAAAGAGACATTAAGCCACTAAATCCCAGGATGCATTGGAATATTGAACCAACAATTATAGCTCCTTGGAGTTCCCTCATTATGTGCCTAAATTTCTGTAGTTGGATCAAGCATTCATCAATATGGAAGTAGGGAATAGCTCAGAACCGGAGGAAAAACAAAAAGCAAGGGTTAAATGGGATTTGAAGACAATTTCTTTCATTCTGTCACCAAAAACCAACGAGGCAGTAAGCTTTTCCAAAGAATCCAAAAAAGATGCATAGATGCAGATAGAATGAAGAAGGGCAATTTATTTGGTTACTCCTAAGATATATAAGTTTGAGCATTAAACAAATACAAAGGAAATCTTTGAGTTCTAACAATTGCTTCTGAAGTAAGAATTAGCATTTTGCTACCACTGAACTTACATGTTCGGTGAGATTTCGATATTCTTGAGCATTTATGATCACTAATGCTGGTGCCAGATATACGAATGAACTCCCTTGTACTAATGGCAGTCGGGTACCAAAGTAGGAATGTAGTATTGTTGTGATGCCAGAAACAAACAACATAGTAGAAATTACCGTAGCAGTATCCTTCTGTCACCATTGAGTCAAAAGATAATGTATAAGAATATAGAGAACCATCAAGTTCCTTAGACCACAATAAACATCACACAATTTACAACGCTGAATGCTTACATCTGTTCCCCCCATGGCTGGTACCATGATTAGTGGAATAAATATAAGTGACCCTGCCAATGACAAATAGTGCTGCAAGCCATAATAGATAAGGAGAACTGCAAAGAAAGATTGATAACTATGAGACAGTAATTAAATTAAACAAATAATTGTTAAAGAAAGGGTTGCCTTCACAAAGCCCTTAAAACATGACCAATGACCAGATATGTGTTTTATTTCTTTTTGCATTTTTACCCTGAATTCATTTTAGACAAGCTGAAGAATTCTGAACAGTGGTCATTTGACACTACTTGAATGGGACATGATGTAATGGGAAGACACGAAATTTAGTTGCTTTCTGAAGATGTAGAATCACGCAGTTAAAAGATTATTATAAAAACCGAAAAAAAAAGAAGAATAGATAATGATATCCTGAATAGAACCCACGTTACTAGACCATAAGACATTGGCTTCTACATATCCCTTCAGCTTTACTACACTCCGGATGGAACTAATCCAAAATTGTCGTTCAACTTAATTGATAATAACGGATAAGAACCAAGTGAGGTGAGCATGTACTCAATATTCGTAATGGATAATAATGGATGAGTTTTTAACTAACCAAACCCCGGATTTTCTCTTAGCCCGCACTTCAAGCCCGGCGGTCGCTGCCACCCTCCCCCTTCACCAGGTCCCTCCCCCTCCGGATACATGTTGACTTTGACATCTCCTTCGGCCATATCTTCCTCCTCCTTCTTCACCTCCGGTACTGGAGCAACCGTGGACGTTCCGTGACCATTGCTCTCTCTATTCACAACTCCATTAGCATTACCATTCCCTCCGAAAGGATGTTTCTTCTGGTTTTCAATTCCCAAATTGAGAGCTCTCTCATTATCCGCTCTTGTTGCCGCATCACGCGTCGACCCATTTTCTGGTTGGATCTCATTCCCTCGATCTCGTCTCGTCCTTCCCAGAATTGGATCTATCTCTATCTTCGGGGAAGTCCCTCCTTTTTTCTGCTCATGATTCCTTTCCAGATTCAACCCAACACCATCGAACTTTTCACTGGCACTAGTACCTGCTTCCCCCGAGTAATCGGAGACAAATCCAGTCCTCTTCGCCCAAGAGCGCAGCTCTCTCGGGTTGTGGTCGGTTTTTGGCACAAAAGGCTCCACTCTTGCAGGTACAGGATTATGTCTCTTGCCATTCCTCAGTGTCAAGCCTTCGTCAAATTCTGAGCTTGACCCAGTTTCCATTTAATCCTTCCAATACAGTGGAAAGAAGAAAGATGAAATCTTACAGAAAGTAGGAACCAGAGGATCCAATTCAAATTACAGTGAAGAATGAAGATACTAAGTGCAGAAAGAGAGAGAAGAAACTAAGCTCAGCCATAGTGAAGTGGCAAATAACATGAGAACAGGAAATTGAATGAACTGTTCCGTGCAATGATTAACAGTGAGTGTGGAGGGAGGAAGAGTGGTATGGAGGCTTCACTTCGCTCCCGAGTTGCTATCAAACGGAGCTTTCAAGTTTCAAGTGGTGACTGTGAAATTACCGAAACATCCTTCGTGGCCGTTGGCGACGCTGAGGGAAACCTTGTTAGGAATCAAACAACTCATTTTTGAGTTATTGCATCCGATTTATCTCATTTTTCTATTCTGTTACTTTATAGTGGGAAACCACCGCTTTGCTTCTCTTTCCTTCAATGTCAAGTTTCATCTCTTTTTCATAAAGGAGTTTTCTAAACCCCCCGAGCTGTGAGTTACAGTGAAATGGAGGTGGTTAGCTAGTGACAAAGATGACGAAGAAGTGGACATATATTGCAAGCTATTTCCTCTTCATTCACAAAAATAATACTACGAAATTAATTGAAAAGCGCGCGCATACAGAGTGATATGATTTAAAAAAAAATACAAACAAAATAAATTCACATCTTTTGAATTTATATTAGTTTTACGAAAACAAAATTACTGTATTATATTTGTTAGACGTTTGAGCGGAGATTTTCCTCTTAATATATACATGCATGAGTGTGTAAAGTTTAAATTATAAGCTTTACGTATTGACCAAAATTTCATCTTTTTTCAATGAGGAAAGCTTCGTCTTATTTTGCCCTAATTAAGACCCTTCTTCTATTTGTAAAATTTACATTTTCCTCAAATCCTTAACTTTGTTATGAATGTTTTAAGATTCTTAAATAATTATTGATAATTTAAATTTAAATATATTAAAACAAGATAAAATCAATAATCTACCCCTCAAAATCGCCAATAGTTCAATCTACCCCTCAAAAAATACAATTGATAAATATTTGATAAATAAATATACCAAATAAACTCAAAAAAATAATTAAAAAAAAGTGCAAGATAACTAATTTACATATTCCTTTTGGTTTATGTTCGCTCGTAATTTCTTGTACGCAATAATAGAAGCCATTCGTCAATTCACTCAGATAAGGCATTTTTGGTAGTCAGATAAGAATGATTGATTCTGTGGACTTTGAGCTTAAGAAGATAAGATTGTTTCAGTGAAGTGATCCCCCAACAGAAAAACCAAGCGTTTTTAATTTTAATTTATTTTACTTGCATGTCCTCAAGCATCAACTAAAAGGTGTGAAAATTTATTTTAACCAACTTATTATTTATCATATCATACTATTTCTCCCATATTATCCATTCGTGCTGGCAACTCATAGTTCGTCATTTGGTCCTTTTTTAACAATTTTCCGTGTTACGGTTTAGGCGCGTGGCTCTTTTTTTTTTTTTTTTGTGTTACAAAGGCGAGTGATTTAATTATGGTGGGTTCACCGCTGAAGATAGTCCCCATCATTCTAATTTTAATTTTAGAATATAGATTCGATTTATTAATTACATTCTTAATTCTTACGCCATTATTATTAAAGGCTACAGAAAAGTGACGAGGATGTCGGAAAGGGCAGGGAACGAAAAGAAGAATAATTTGAGTAGCTTAAATAAATTAAATAATTATAATATGACATAATTCTTTTAAAATGCTTCCACATAATATTAGTTTATCTATTAGTTAGATAAATTAATTTGAAAAATAATAATAAATTTAAAAAATAAATTAAATTGAAATATTATATTTAAAATCAAATCTAACTCCAATTAACTATTCCATCCGTTCCTTATTATAAGAGACATTTGATGTTTATGGTATGTTCCTATATATAAGAGACATTTAAAAGTTATCTCTACTTTTTTGCATTGATTTCCTATTTTACCCATATTTATTATCTCCAACCCACATTCTCTCTCCCTCCCATTCTCTTTTTTTTAATATTTTAATTATTCTCTCTCCTATTCTCTTTCCTTATTAATGAGGGCATGTTTGGAAAACAAATTATATTTTTTACACATTAATTGTTTTTAACTAATTTTAACTGTTTTTTTTATCAACGTATTTCGGTTATCTGTCTCTTATAATAAGGAACGGAGGGAGTATAATAGAGATAGGTGCTGGTAGATTGATAAGAATAATATATCTTCATTAACATTTAGTACCAGAAGTTGTCAAAACGAAAGGTTGGAATTAGGTTTATCCCTCCCCCATGTGAACCATCTATTATTAAATATGAAGATTAATATGTAATTAATCTCATAATTAAATATATTAAACTTGCATGCATCACCGATAGCATTTTTTCCCCAATAACTTTTTATTGACTTTAAAGATAAGCATGGTTTAGCTTTAATTCGTTTCTCAGAAAAAGTTTCAGCCATCTTTGCTTTTTCAAAAAATTTTATATCACAACTATGCTCTTATTTATATCTGTCTCAAATACGTGAACAATGCAGATTGCAGACGCGTTGATCTTGAGATATAAACAAAATTCTTTTTTTTAAAAAAAAAAAATTTCCTTTTCTATTCGCATCTACATCATATCATTTCACATATATTTATTTAATAAATATAAAAATTCAAAATTCAAAACCATTCGAAACTCAAGCCCCTCGCTGCCTACAATAATGTATTCATATTCTTCAACATGATTATGGGTTTTGTTCTTATAAAACCCATCATGTTTTACAAATTCTACAGTAACAGTAATGTTCCAAAACAGTAATGTGTTCCAAAGCTGATAAGATAAGCACCAGGCCAACAAGCAAACCTAAATGAAGCAATTTGATGTTCTTTGGTCATGACTTAATCACGCAACTCCCCGAGTAAAATTGTCGGTTGTCGGTTCTTGCTCTTATTTACACTTTCAGTTTTTCTTTTATATGTGTGTGTAATACTACTTCCGGTTCTAATTATAAGAGCCAGTTGACTAATTCGAGGAGATTAAGGAAGTAAGTTGAGTTGGTTATTTGTTATAAATAGGTGTTGTCTTTCTTAAAATATATTTACTGATCAAGTGTATTGACTAGAACTCTTATTATTAGAAAGGCTACTTTGAAAAAAAAATGTATAAATATGAGAAACAAAGTGGATTGGAGTCTTATATTTAGGACCAAAATAAAAATCAAATAGGGTCTTATATTAAGGACCGGAGGTAGTATTAAAATTAATCTTAATAATTTTTAATTAAGATTATTTTTATTGAATAGATATTTGTGATTTATGTTGTCAGCAAACTGCTTTAATTTAATTACTATTAGATTAATTTTTTAGGATGAAATATATTCCTTCCTTTTTTTAATGTTAATGTGTTCATGTTTTGGAGTGAAAACATATCCTCATGTGTCATTATTGCTTTTCCATGTAGTTTGAAGTGAATTTCACGAATCGGATAAAATATATATATATATATATATAATAAGAAATAATGACACGCACTAAGAGAGGCATCATTCTCCAATGAATATAGACAAATCGTCATCATTTTTCCACCGCTCAGTCAATAATTCTAATTGATGATTTTTATGTATGAAAAAACCAATGCTAATTATGAGCATTGTCACTAACCATATATGCATACACAGCTTTTACAACTCCTAATCACCACTTCAGTAGCTCACATTCTCATTTTAAGGCCAAAAAAATCAGTCTCGAAGATTAATGAAAATGGAAGTAATGTAACAATAGCAACATATTTTTCAAAAGCAAGTGTTTGCATTTGGCTCCGAGCTTGATATAATTATTATTTTAAGCATGATTTTGTCAAATAAGTTATGGTGTATATCAAAACAGGCTTAAATATGTTACGCTATGCATGAACTATTTTCTATATATTTGAACTTTGAAGCATTATTAATATTCTGACAGATTTTGTTGCAGAGGTGAACAGGTAAAAGTGAATTAGTACTGAACCCCAATAGCCGTTGAAGTGATATTCAGATTTGCTGTGACCATTAAATACGTATGATAGATTTTCTGATCACGAAGATACTACAGGTGAAAACCATCGAGCAACAGGGGGAAAAATCAGATATCAGAGTCTTCTTCTTCCTCCACTTCTTCATTCTTTCTGTCCTTTCTGGATGCTGATACTGGAGCTCAAACTTGTAAGATAGTAGCATAAAAGCTTCTTTGTAAATGAGAAGTTGCGGATTCTACTTGTATCCCCACACCCTTATCCCTCTAATTAAAAAAAGACACTGTAAAGCCATACAGTCCTTTTACCAGGGATAAAAATAGGTATACACCTCTGATCAAACACTGTGGAAGTTGTTCTTGCCTTTATCGGTGTTTGATTTCCTCAATGGCCTGGTCCAAAAGCTAATATCACTATATATTAAAGCAAAATCATATTGACCGAAGAATCCATGGGTATTCACTTCTCAGTTCGCCATAGAAAATCCTAAAATACTGGCGATGTCAAAAATCACCACCTTGCCAGTTACTCCACTTAAGCTTCTCTACAAGCACCACTTAAAATGCATAAATCACAAAAAAGCATCATCATTTTACAATACCAGAGACCAATATAAAGTGAAACACGTAAAACACGTATGAATGTTTCGGCTTATTTCACATGAAAACCCAGCTGGTCAGCCAACGAAGTTATCCAACAACCAGCGCATAAGCATTCATACAAATTTAAACCCATTATTCTCAAATATACTCACGGTTCATCCAATACAATGACCAAATTCATCAGGCAGCTAACTATTGGTTCTTGTTCATAGCATTTCGCATACATACTGTATAGCATAAACTCCTCCCTAACAGAGTCTTCGTAGCAGATTCGTGATATCAGACCAGGAATTTATAATAAGGTGCCAGCTAATCTAACATTTGCATCTGTGACCTTCCCATGTACACCCTCAAATATGACAATGAAAAACAAACAGTAGCATTTATTTTAGCGTATACAGGACAACAATCAAGTTGATACCGGTGAATTAGAACTAAAACTTATAACTGGCATAGCTCCGGGTCCTCTTTGAATATCGGAAATTGTGGCTTCAAGGTTATGCTTGAATGCAAATCCACTAGAGGGGCACATAGATATAATTTGGCATTTCGCTTGAAGGGAATACAGATTAAGGAATGAAAATGAAAATGTCACAGAAGTTATTGGAGTATCAGATACCATCTTCTCCCTTCTGTGGTGCTTACTGAAGGCAGTTAGAAAGTGCACGAAAGCATCAGAAACGGTTACGCAATTGCCAATTAAGATTATTATACGTACAGAAAAGAATTAGTAATAACAGATTAGTTGTGCAAACAAAAGTACCACAGATCAAGCTCCTCACATTAAAATCTGAACTGCATTATCATCACTCACAGAATTGGGATGTCATTTCATATGCAAATGATTTTGAAAGAGATAAAAAGCTTTTTTAGTGTCCTTTAATAGTCGAGTTACAAACTTCAAAACTCAATTTGTCAAAATAACAGCAATATCAACGTCAGCATCTCTCAATGAACTCTAAGATCCACATTCACCTAAAACACGACCCAGGATGATCAATTTCAAAGAAGAAAAAGAAACAAGGAAATTTGAAGCTCTATGAGATTGATAAAAAGTATTCTTGATTGTCATAAACAACACCACAATCGGCATTTACATTCCGGTGGACAAAAACAGAAAGAAAGAAAAAGAAGATAGGCAGTTATAGTATAGACATTATTGACAAGCGAAATCTTCTATGTTCACGATGTAGAAGACAAGAGACGTGCCACCTGTCCTTGTGTCTCCCGGAACCGGCGTTTAAGGTAATCCTCGAGGATCTCCATAACAGAGACAAATCGCTTCATTTCCTCGAGACGACGGCTGAGCTCGGCCTCACGAGCTCTGGCACGCGCGAGACGCGCCTCCGTCTCCGCAAGCCGATCCCGAAGGTTCTCAACGACGGAAAAGTTGCGGGCGGGCAACCTGCCGGTGGTAGGGGCGTTAATGTTATCTCTGGATAAGGATCGCTGATGGCCGTAACACATGCTGACAGAGCTGGGCGCTGGATCGATCGATCAGATCAGAGTTCAGGGCCACCCTTCGGAGGGAAGAGAGACAGAAAGACGAGTGCTCCTTTCTCACCCGGTAAACGGTCTACCGCCGAACCTGGCCCGTTGACTACAGGATACGCACAACTCTCACGGTCTAATCTAACCAAGCCAAAGCCAAACTACGCCGTAAATATGCTTTCCCCCCCTAATTTGTATTATTGAATAATGAATGCGAGGGAGAAAATCAGCTGGGATATTTAAAATCAAATTAAATATCAAATTAGCTTTTATAGTAAAAATTAGAAGTAATACTATCTCCAGTTTTTAATATAAAATCTCGTTTGACTTTTATTTTGGTCATAAATATAAAACTCCAATCCACTTTGTCTCTGATATTTATGTATTTTTTTTTAAGATAGTCTTTCTAATAATGGTAGTTCTAATCAATATATTTGATTAGTAAGGATATTTTAGGAAAGACAACACTTATTTATTATAAATAATTAACTTAACTTCTTTCCTTAATCTTCTTAAATTAGTCAATTAGCTCTTATAATTAGGATCAGAGATAGTTTAATTTACTGAGATAAAAAAATATGACTGATTATTTTTATTCAATGACAATGGAATGTTATGTAATATGTTAATTACAATCCCGATCGGAGATTGAGATTGTACGAGACATCAAACGACTTCTTACTTTGTTTCCTGGCATTCGCCCCAACTAATAGAGGTTTTGGAGTTACGGGTTGTTTTATACTTTTATCCCTGAAGGGTTGGTTGAGTAAGACATTCCCCCCGGCACGAATGCAATACCAATCCAAATCTTTCCTCCTAACTACCTACTTCCATATTATTATAAATAAACCTTCCTTTCCGGGCTAGGATTTATCCCTGAATAAATCATTTTTAACCATATTTTTTCTGTCTACAGGTATGAGTGTTCAATTTATCCTGTCTTGACCGTTTCGTCTTAGGACAAAAAAAACTTCAAGATGGGACGAAATGCGACCATCTCATAGTATTTTTTTAAAATTATTTATTAATAATAATTATTATATTATTTAATTGAACTTTTTACGTAATATTTTTTATTTTTAAAAACCCAATAAAAAATTATAAGATAAAAAAATTCATGCAAAAATTCTAATTTTTTTTTGAAAAAAAGGGGAATGAAATGTCCTATCTCATCCCGATCCCGAGACAAAAGTCTCGTTTTGTTCTTATTCATTAGGATGAGATTGGGATGGGTTTGTCCTCATCCTGTCATGTTTGTGAATAATTTTATTCACAGAAATTCATATATCTATCATATTTATAGAGAGTCAAATTAAGTCAAGATATTAGTTGAGCCAAATCAATTCGATGTACTAAATTTGTTTCATATATACACACATATACATAAATACATACACACATGTATATAATAGTTAGGAACCAAAATCCCAACCACTTGTTTGGGGATGAGATATAATGAAATAACTTTTTTTTTCTAAAATTATATTTTCTCTTGTTTTTCCTTAAAAAATTTTTGAGGCCAGTTCCAAGTTGGATCCAACAAAGCCCAGTTTGTATTTCAGGCCGAGCAATACTTCTAGTCAAGTTTCAACTTTGGGCTTAGGCCCTGCTGTATTGAAATTAAAAAGAAAAAATCAGCACAACCTCCCTTCATTTATTAATCATATCCCCGTGACGTGAGAGGAGGTTTTAGTGGACTTGCTATTTGGCAACAAATACATTTAGGGGGTGTTTGGATAGAAACAAAACCATGGTTTCAGAAGTGTTTTTACGGATTACGAAGTAAATATATGAAGGAGGTTACCTCATTTTGCGGAAAAGTGCTTCTGAAACTGCAATTTTAAGAATGCCAAACACCCCCTTAATTATGTGCAATTTCCTTGGCATGCGTTGACAAACGACTAGGATTTCATTTGGCGCTTCCTGTTCCTACGCTCAATGGGAATAAGACACAGGAAGTTCGTAGAAAAGCTGAACGAGAGCGAAACCCCGGCCAGTAAAATTATTAATTAGCCTCCTGCGTGTCAATTCGGCAATACTGTTTCGATTTGGAATCGTTAAGGTTACATTTCTTCTGTATTCCTTTCTTCATATTTTGACGGGAAGAGAGAAAAAAGAGAATGGTTTCTCAGACGATTGATCTGTTAAAGGAGCAACTCCCAGTGGATCAACAACCCCTTATTTTGTCTGGGGACGTCAAAACAGGTCTCGTCCTCGTCGACGTTGTCAATGGCTTCTGCACCGTTGGAGCTGGTAATCTGGTAAGCCGACCTCCACGAGCTGTTTTGCCGCTCTCTACGGTTTGCCTTCGTATGATTCAGTCAATCATTTCTTTTTTAGTCTAATTGCGTTCTTGCATTTGTTAGATTAGTTCATGTTTGTTGATTTGACTAAATGAGACAAAGACTCATCATTTTGTCATCGATTATGGTATTCAATAGGCCCCAAGGCAACCAGACAAACAAATTTCTAGGATGGTAGAAGAATCAGTGAGGCTCTCAAGAGTGTTCACTGAAAAGAAGTGGCCTATTTTTGCCTTCCTTGATACCCATGACCGAGATACTCCTGAGCCCCCTTATCCTCCTCACTGTATTGCCGGAACAGAGGAAGCAAAATTGGTTCCTGGTAATGGACGTCACTCAGACTCAGGACACACACACACACAAACACACACGAATTTGTCCTGCATCAGTTTGATTTTCTCTGAATTGCAGAATTGCTGTGGTTGGAAAATGAACCAAATGCAACACTCAGGTGCAAAGATTGCATCGATGGATACCTTGGTTCAGTTGAGAAAGATGGTACTAATGTTTTCGTTAAATGGGTGGAAAATCATCAGATAAAACAAGTAAACATTTCCATCCTTCTCCTAATTAAACAGTTAACATGATTGTTTAAGTCTGCTGTACTTGTAACTCAATTTCATTTGAACTCCAAGATTGCTGGCCTAATTTGTTGTACTGCAATTTTTGTCCTTAACAGATTTTGGTTGTTGGGATATGTACGGATATATGCGTCCTGGATTTTGTCTGTTCTGCGTTGTCTGCTAGAAATCGGCGTCTTCTTTCTCCTTTGGAGCATGTGATTATCTATTCCCATGCTTGTGCTACATATGATATTCCAGTTCATATAGCCAGAGATAACAAGGATGTGATAGCTCATCCGCAGGTACTTCAGTGGAAGTTTGGTTGTGATAAATTACATGATTATCATAAATAGAACTTTGACTGAAAGAATGCTTTGATCATCTAAGCAGACAATTATGCTCTGCCCTTCTGATTCTGGTTATATAAATTCAGACCCGGTGACTTTCTGCCTAGTTAAATTATCTGAATAAAAACCGGAGCCGGACCAAAGAAGTATAAATGGATTACCAAGAAGAAGCCCAGGACTACTCTTTTAGATAATCCCACTGTAATGGACTAGTTCCAATTTTTTTACCCCCTGACCCTTCCTCTGCCCATATAGTACAGTGCATGAAGCCCCGGTTATCCACGGGGTTTACAGAGCATCAGACCTACTTTGGGTCTGTAAGTTTCACCTTGTATTATTTACACGTATGATATTTTAATCTGTCTATTTTTAATTTATTTTTTCTTTTTGGCAGGAGCTGATGCATCATATTGGCCTCTACATTGCAAGGGGAAGGGGAGCCCAGATCGTATCAGAGGTATCATTCCAGTGAGCTGAATTAACCTCGTCACATCGACTGGTCTTTCTTAGCCATACGCAAGGCTTCAAAGTTGTGGTTGTTTCTTATTTTACAGTAATACTTGGAGTTCTGGTCAAGTTAATCAGATTTGTAGTTGCCCCCTATTGTGGTCCTAAATCCTAATGATAAGCTACTAAAGCCAGCTGCTACAATACTTCACATGGTATTGCACTATTTTGTTTACCTCACACACGTATGTTTTACATGGCTTGGAATTATAGTTGCCTGCTAAGTTTTTCTAATAGGTTCAGAGAAGTCTAAACTCTTGGGGAAAAAAATCAAATACTTTAAAAGTACGAGACAATTTATTATTTTATAAAGGATTAATGTTCATCTTTGTTTTAGAAGTTTTCGCTTGGAAATAGTAATCCGAGATTTTTTTTTTTTTTTTTAAAGCAGCATCCCCAAAGTTTACACCCAAGTGTTAAAAACGTTAATTTTGATTGTTAAATTTCTTTGGCTATATGAGACGTGGCACTGAATGCACCAACTCAGCCGCCTAATCATCAGACACTATCTCTTCTGGTGGGGGGAAAAAAAGCACTATCTCCCCCATACTTTCCTTCCTCTCTCTCCCTGATCTGCGCACTATCCGCCCTCACCAGACACAAGAGTGGCTCCTTAGAATTTGCCTTGTCCTCTCTAGTTCTTATACTATCGCTCAACTTCGCCTCCATTGTTAGATCCGTAGTGAATTCCTTTTCTTTGCTACACAAACCGAGCAAACTACATACTAAGTGCTCAAACTAACACGGTACATTATATAATATCTATTTATATATGGCTTGGTGCATACCGTTAAAAGCAGAAACATGTATATAACTAATTGCCGCATGGTGGAGAACCTACCAATTGGTTGACAGCAAAAAAGAAGAGAGTTGTGAGGTTGGGATTGAGGAGTTTCAGCCGTGGCCGCGGACTTGACAGGCCCAGGCACCACAATTCGAGAGCTTCTCAGTTCAGCCATTGCTGGCTGTGCGCTCGCACCTTCTACTTCACGCAACTTGGCAAGAAACACTCTTGTTTAATTCATACGACAAATTATTATATATGTAACCGACGAATGCAAGGAAAAATTGAAGAAAAAAGGGTCTGTAGAATATGTGACAGTACCTTCGCCTGCGGCGTGATATTGCAGTAGAAGTCGACGACGTTGGAACAGTTGTAGTAACAGTGAGGGGAGCAGAGGTTGTGGGTGGAGTGAGAGTCGAAGAGAGCGTCGGAGGAGATGCCGAGGGCCTTTGGGTCCAAACCACAAACTTTGATGCACTCACCGCTCTCCATGTGGTGTGTGAGGGCTGCCTTCCTCTATCTAAAACATCACACCATCGGGGCATACAGCTAGGAAGACATGGTGATTGATCATTTGGAATATGAGGTAAGTACGTGGAAGGATTTTTGTTTTGACGTGCTTTACGAATACTTTTCAACGCCATATCGAATAGACCCCAGGTCTTTTTCCTTTTTTTTTGTTTTTTGGTGAGTCTGAGGTTGGTCCCAGCAATGAAACTCATAAAGCGAAAACCGCAAGAGAGAGAAAGGCAGAAGCTTTTCCAGATCTTATTGTTGCCTCAACTAGATTCACGGCGCAACCAGAAGAAGCTTGAAGGTTGCGTGATGTGATCAGGTATTTGTTTCCAACTGGGAACAGTAAGAAGTGGAAGGCCGAGTGCGCGCAGACGAGGGAGAGAGAGGAAAGAATGGGGGAGACTATGGATGATCGTCTGCCCCTGTCTACGCATAACACCCCTCGAACTTGCCAATACTCATGCAGTCTTCAAACTCCATGACACTTCATGCTGTATGTAATGTAGGAGTTGGGTGTTGACTTGATTCAGTTCTAGTGTCACAATATTTCACTTACGTTTTAGGAGACATCATTTGAAAACAATGAATCATGGGTAGATGTTTAACCAAACGATCAAAACACAAAGGAAAATCCTGACACCCATATTATAGCAATATCCTCCTAGTTGGTATAAGGATACATATAACTGCAAACTCAAACCTACGTATAGTCAAACTCCCGACAAGTAACTTGTAACAGGGCACTCTAACTCTCAATCGCTACCTAGTCAAACAACTTTTTTTTTCGACCAAAAAGAAAAATTATAAGCGAAGAAAAGAAATGGAATGAAAGAAGGAAAGAAAGGAAGAAAGAAATTAGTGGGGCTAGTTTACATGGGGGTCTTTGGTCTTGAACGATACTTCCTATGCATTCCAAGGGCCATGAAAGAAAAGATTGATGGTTTTTGTTTCTTTGGATTATCACCAAAGATAAATGACCTTAAAGGAACCCGGGTCCGAGAATTCACACTCCTCAGATGGGAAGCTTGGGTTTTATTTGTGGTTGAGAGTCCAAACTGTTCATTCAATTTCGCAAGCACCTTCTCAACTTCAAGTTGCAGAGTCGTGACATGGTCCAGACCTGCCTGAAGCTCATCAGCAACCCTGTTGTTTTCTTGTTTCATGTTCAAAATCTCACCTTGGAACTTGGCCGCTTGAAAGCTCGTGAACTTAAATTCGTCATCTTCAGCACTGGCCTTCAATGCCACTGTTATGTCTTCTTGGATGTCACACAAGGATGAGAACCTGAATCTCAGTTCTTCTTTCAGCAGTGCGCTTTTTCCCAACCAGACAGTTAGTTCCGTCCGGATTTCTTCAAGGTGTTTGTAAATTGGCCGTGCATCCGATTTTAGAGAATATTTTGCGTTGGTACTGCCCTCTGAAGCCTTCAATTCTGCGCCAAGTTTTGATGCTTCGGTCGCTAAATCTTTGATGGTGGTATCAAATTTTTGTATCTCGGTGAAAATACTACTGAATTTTAACCAGAATTCTAAGTTCTCCTCTAGAAGTTTATCAATGCTCATCCGGAACTTCTCTTCAATGGCTGATGTATCGCCAGACGCCTCAATTTTTAAGATTTCATCAATGTTCTTTACTGGCATTGGTAAATTTAACTTCATCAATTCCTCATTTCCCTCCAAGCTTTTCTGCAGGAGATCCAGTTTCTGACGCAGATATCTAATCTCTTCATCTTTCAAGGCAATAGCACGCTTCAGTTCCTTCAACTGCAAAGATGTATCAAAGTCACTCTCTTGATTTCTCTTCTCCAGTTCAGTGAGCTTCTTCTTCACATCTTTGAAATTCCGAAGAGTATTAGTGTACTCTGCCAGCAACACTCTCTCTTTATCCTGCAGTCCATCCATAAATAATTTCTGCCAGTTTGGTTCATCCTCTTGTGCTTTTGGCTGCTCCTGGGCTTCAAATTTGAGAGAATTCTGTGTACCCGATGACTCTGGTTTAGCATCGATCTCTTGCTGGTTTTTAGAGCTGTCTGAAGAAATTTCTGCTATTTTTCCAGCATTAGTGCTTAGAGTATCTCCAGCTTTTTCATCACTATTGTCAAGATTTGCAGTTTCCTCCTGTTCTTTCATCTCGTTTGGCAATTTGTTTTCCTCTGGATGCGCCTCTTCTGTTACATGTGTTATTGTAGCTTTAATCTCCTTATCTGACTTTGCATCGATCTCTTGCTTGCTTTCAAAGCTGTCTGAAGAACTTATTGCCGTTTTCCCAGCATTAGCACTCAGAGCATCTCTAGTTCTTTCATCACCACTGTCATGGCTAACAGTTCCCTCCTGCTCTTTAGTCTCGCTTGGCATTTTGTTTGCCACTGGCTGCGCCTCTTCCATCGTATGTGTGACTGTAACCTTAAGCTCCTGATCTGATTCTTTGCGTGAACCAGCTACCATAAGCTTGTTTTCTGACTTTGTATCATCCTCTAGAGAACCAATGAGTAACTTTACTTCACCTTCTACTGAATCGGTGAATTCATGCTTCCTATCCGCGTTTACATCTTTTAATAAGACATTCTCTTGATTCGCTGCATCTTCTCCTTCAACCTCATGCTTTGCTTCGGCTTCACCTGATGATATCATTTCTCTCTGAGTAAGATCTGTGTCCTCTGCATCATCCTGTTGCAAATTTTGGACTTTCTCTGAGAGATGATCAAGATTACAGCGTGCTTCAGTGAAATGGGTTTGCAGATTCATATGCTGGCTTTCAACAATTTGGTTTAGATCCTGTACTCCATTCATCTTTTCTTCCATTTTTCTCAGCTCGTCGTTCAAGTTGTTTTTGTCATTGATTAGATTTGCCTTGTCATTTTCCAGAGCTCGGATTTGTGATTGAAGTTCATCAGCTTCTGTTCTCAGTCTCTTCACCAGAGCAGTCTGGGATGAAACTGCAGTTTCTAAGCTTACTACTTTGTTCACAAGCTCGTCAATCTTCTCTGCCATTTCTGTCACACTGAGAGATGAATGGGACCCAGCCTCAAAGTGTTCTTTAATCTTCTCTTGTAAAATCCGCAGATCCTGTCTCTGCTGAGTCATTCTCTCCTCTCCATCCAAGTCCTTTGCTTCTGCTACTTCTTTTGCGTCTCTTTTAGTCCTTGGCTCATTCTGATTGGTTGAATTATATTGGAACTCATCCTTGAGTGACTCGAACTTCTTCTTGATATCCTGTATTTTTTTGGACTCTATCCTGGTTTCCTTAATTGCCTTTTCCTGCTTCACTTGCAACTGTGACAATGTCTCTTGGCATGATTTAAGAGCAGCTTCTGCCATCAAACGACGAGCTTCATTGTCGTCAATAACAGTAACTTCACCAAGTTCGTCTTGTAAACTGGAAACTCTCTCTTGTAACTCCTTGATCTGCTCCTCAGTTTCCCAGTATGTTGCAATGGCATTATCATAAGTGCTCTTTACGAACTCTTTCACAGTTTGTAGTCCCAGAATCTGTTTCTGAAGCTTGTCAACCTCTTCAAGTGCCTCCTTTTTGCTCAGTCCAGATTTAGGAGCTCTGGAAATAATTTCTGCAGTGGATGTCTTCTTGGAATACAATTTCTTCGGCGCTATTGGATTTGCGCTTTTAAAATCTTTAACTGGAGGCTTTGGGATACTTGGTGGTTTGAAACCTTCTGGTAGTTTCCTGGGGACCCTTGGTGACATTGGAGACCTTGGTGATGCTTCATCATCATCATCCTCCATGAAGGGGACTTGGTCTGGGCAGACAGAAGCAATGGTGGTGTTTGCATTCTGCAACTCGGTCGATATGTGATCATACCGTTCAGCTAAAGCTCGGTAAGCCCGGTATGATTCTTCCACGAAGTGTATCAGCTCTGGCCTCTTTTTGTAATACATTTCTGCTCTTCTTGCAAAGGAATCCCCATCTTCTTCTATAAGTTTCAGAACATTCTGCACTTTTTCCTCCATGTCTGCAGTTTTAGCGAACTCTGATCAGTTTCCTCAAGCAATTTGTGATAAGTGGGTGTTACTTGTGATTTTCTCATTAGAACCCGTCTATTCTAAATTGGACCAAGAAACCGTTGCATTACACCAAGCTTATGCTGAATACATCAACAAATTTACCAGCTGGCTGTCCAAGAAGCTAATGAAAATTCACCCAGGCAGATATTTCATAAGACAGTATATATATTGACACACCCATTCTTTTTAATTTTATTATTAACTCGTTACCAGGGCTAGCTGGCTATATAAGCACTATATGAAAGGATTTCTCATCAAATCTCCCTTAAAAAATCTCCTAGTATTGCAAGAAACCTCTCTATCAACTTCAAGGAAGTGTTTGCTCCAAAAAGAAAAAACTTCCAAGATAGGTGAATATGTTAATTCTTAACCCTCCCCCCCCCCCCAAAAAAAAAGAATAGCTTAATTTAATTTCTTATCAATAGTTCAATACTGAGAAGAAGTGAAAGTTGTTGGGCTTAGTTATGTCGCATGTGAAGCAAACATAGGTGAAGGTTTCATTTGATAAATGGTCAATTACTCCATTTAGAGCTAATTCAATGTTCAAAATAGCTGACTGCACATTTATCCAATGAATTTTGACAGAACGTCAATATTCAAGTTATTGTAACAGAAAATGCTGTATAGATCAAACAAACAAGAAAAGAGAGGTATCAGAAAGTTGAAGCCATTCTTTTTTATCTTCTGATTATTATCAGAGGAAGAAACAGAGATAAATCCTGACCTTGAAGATTTTGCTCCAGCCATTTTGATTGCTTTGTTCTGATGTGGCTGGCCCACCACCATGAATACGCATTGTTTGCTGCTCTATGCAACATACTGGCTTCTCCTCCTCCTTATTCTTCTTCTTCGTCTTCCTCCTCTTATATTTCCTGCAACAGAGATCTTATTGTACCAACAAGGACATGGAAGCTCTGTTTCTGTGAATCTGCCTAATTAAAGAAGATGAAGAAGAAGACGTGGATT